AAGGGAGAGCGGGACAGCCATGCCCCGTTGGAAAGCATCCGTCTGAGCATCCTAGATCGTGTCAAAACACCGTTCCTGGGACTTCAACGAAGCGAGTCAACAGTCAACGTGAATGTTGCGCCCCGGTACATCCTAAGTCGTGCCAGATCACCTTTCCTGGGACTCCAACGCCGCGAGTCAACGTGAATGTTGCGCCCCGACACCTCCTAACTGGTGCCAGACACGGTTCCTGGGATTTCAACGCCAGGAATCAAAATAATTGTTGCGTCCTGACAGCTTTGAATCGCGCCAAAACACAACTCCTGTACCTTGATCAATATGAGTCCTTGAAGCTTCTGCGAACCTTTAAGACACTTGTACACGGCTCTGAGGCGAGAACCACATTTTGAACACCAGCCGCCTTCCATCCTTGAAGCTGCTGCAAGCTGTTAAGACGAATGTGCAAGGCGCTAAATCGACTTGCCACAGATCTGGGAAACCAGTCACCCTCCACCCTTGCAGCTGCTGAACACTTGTTAGACGATTGCGCGTGGCGCGTAGGCGAGAGCCACAGTTTGAAAACCAGCCGCTCTCCATCCTTGAAGCTGTTGCAGATCTCAGGTTCCAGGACTGTAAGCGATGAGGCAGTCTCATGCGAAACGCCTGGCCCGCCCTACCGACACGTCTGGGGGTGCGACAGGGAGGAGTAATTATTTTGCACTTTGCGTCCATAGTTCAGACTTTTTCTCTGTCGCACCGCTACTCCCTCCCATCCCCCCGCAGGACACCTCCCCCGCCCCTATCCCCGCTGCCCCCCAACAGCCCAAGGCCCCATCCGCACTGTCCACATTATCTTCGCACCGCCCCCCTCCCCTTGTCCAGTGCTCATTTTTTCGCACTGCAGTACCCTCCACTCCCCGTTCCTGAGCAGCCCACGGTTCACCCGCCGCCCAGTTCCCTGACAGCCCCGTGCCTCATGCCCCGTTCCCCTTCCGCCCCGACCATGTTATGTTCGCACCGCACTCCCCTCGTCCCCTCCCCACCCCAGGACGTCCCCAAGCAACCCCGTCTTTCTAGCAGCCTAGGCGTTCCCCAGCGCCCTTTGCGCCCAGTGCCCACTCGGCCCCGACATTTTTACGTTCGCCCCCCCCCCCCGCAGGACACCGCCCCCGCCTCCTCTCCCCATTCCCCAGCAGCAGCACAGTGCCCTCTCCGCCCCGACCACGTGGTTTTCGCGTCGCACACACACACACACACACACACACACACTCACACACACACACTCACACACACACACACACACACACACACACACACACACACACACACACACACACACACACACACACACACACACACACACACACACACACACACACACACACACACACACACACACACACACACACACACACACACACACACACACACACTCCCCCCTCATGTGCGCCGCCCCCGCCCCTCTCCCCATTGCCCCCAAGCTGCCCAGTGCTCCTTCCGCCCCGACCACTTTATTTTCGCAGTGCTCCCCCCCCGCCCCCTCCCTTTCCGCAGAACACCGCCCCCCGCCCCCTTTTCCCGATTCCCCTCAGCAGCAGTGCCCCCCCGCGCCGATCATTGTATTTTCGCATCGTCCCCCTCCGTTCCGACCGCTTTATTTTCGCACAGCTCCCATTTCCCCCCTCCCGCAGGGCGCAGCGCCCGCCCCCTCGTCCCCGCGCAGCCCAGAGCCCCCCCGCCCCGACCATTTTGATATTCGCACCGCCCCCCCTCCTTCTACCCCCCCTCAGGACACCGCCCCGCCCGCTTCCCCACCGCCCCATAGCCGCCCAGTGCCCCCCCCCCCCGCCCCGACCGTTGCATTTTCGATCCGCATCCCCCTCCGTTCGCCCCGGCAGGACAGCGCCCCCGCTCCTTCTCCCCATGCTCCAGCAGCAGCCCAGTGCCATCGCCGCCCCGACCATCCCACTGTCGCGTCGCACCCTTCCCCCCCCCCTCCCCGCCGCAGGACACAGCCGCCGCCCTCACTATCCCCTGGCAGCCCAGCGCCCCCTCCGCCCTGATCTCCCCCGCAGGGCACCGCCCCCGCCCCCTCTCCCCGCAGTGTTCCCCAGCAACCCTCCGCCCCGACGATTTGATGTTCGCTCCGCCCCCCCCCCCCCCCCCCCCCCCCGCACTGGCGTCGCGCCGCCCCCGCGGCACCTCCCCATCCCCTCCCCCAAGCGTGGCCGCCTACGCCCAGGGCACGCTATTCTCTTGCACAGGGTGTCTAGAGCTCCGATAGTTTTATTTGTCGCGACGCACCGCTCCCCCAGTGGGACCTCTGCCCACAGCGCCCCCCAGTGGGACCTCCCCAGCGCCCCCCAGTGGTCCCCAGCTCACCCCAGTGGGGTCCCCAGATGTCACCAGCGCCCCGCCCCAGTGAGACCTCCCCAGCGCCCCCCAGTGGTCCCCAGCGCCCCCCTAGTGGGGCCTCCCCAGCCGCGCACAGTGCCCCCTCCGCCCCGACGATTCTATTTTTCGCGACGCACCCCTGCCTCGTATCCCCCCCCCCTACCCCCCGCAGGGACCTCCCCAGCGCGCGCCCCCCCCACCCCCCCCCCCCCCATCAGCCCCCAGCGCCCCCCCCAGTGGGGGCCACCCAGCCGCGCCCAGTGCCCCCTCCGCCCCGACGATTCTATTTTTCGCGACGCACCCCTCCCCCCCCCAGTGGGACCTCGCCAGCGCCACCCAGTGGCCCCCAGCGCCCCCCAGTCGGGCCTCCCCAGCCGCGCCCAGTGCCCCCTCCGCCCCGACGGTTTTATTTTTCGCGACGCACCCCTCCTCCCCCCAGTGGGACCTCCCCAGCGCTCCCCAGTGGTCCCCAGCGCCCCCCAGTGGGGCCTCCCCAGCCGCGCCCAG